GTCTTTTGTTGCTCCAAAAATAAAGGATTAATTTCGAGGTCAAGATCGGGCTCCAAGAGTGTTGGTAAGGAAACCCCAAAGGATCATAGAAATATCTCCAAGACATTTAAAAAAATAGCTGTTGGCGTATCTGCCGACCACGAGGGGGAAAAAAAAAAGAACAAAAATGTATGTGGACATGGCACCACTTGGCAAGCCACGCTGTGGCAGGCATCCTACATATAAAGTAGAGGAAGATGGGCATGGATGTTAGCTCAGGGCCAGGCTTCCTCAGCAAAAAAAAAAAAAAAAAAAAAAAAGGAGGATTGGGAGCAGTTAGCTCAGGGCCAATCTTCCTCAGCAAAAAAAAAAAAAGGGGGGGGATTGGGAGCAGTTAGCTCAGGGCCAATCTTCCTCAAAAAAAAAAAGAAAGAAAGAAAGAAAGAAAGGAGATGTGGCCCCTGGAGATTCTATCAAACTGCAAATCTCCCTAGGAGAGGGTTATCTTATCACTAATGTTTTGACAAGCCGGAAAAGACGCTCTGAGGCTAAGATTGGAATTTATCAAATGCACAGATTTACAGTCAGGACATCATTAAAAACAAAACGGAAGGTCGAGACTCTGGAGGAAGGTGCGCACGTCCCTCGGCCTCCTGGGCCAACGTGGAAGGGAAAACTCCCCGGGTGGTGGCCTGGCTGTTGTGTCTTCACGTTTCCTTCCATCACTGTCGTCCTGTCCTCCTCTTTTCCACCTGCTCGCCCGTCCTGGTCCTGGCTGCCTGATGCCGGGTCCCTGCCTCGGTTTCCCCACTGCCCTGCGGGACTCTGAACACCTTCCCGTCTGAGGCCCTCGTCCTAGTTGACCCACTGGGTTTCCAGGGGTTTCTAACCCTCCTATTTTTGTGAACGAAGCGGCTGTCGACACACTGTGACATCGCCCTCGGCAAATTGCAAAATGCTGCCACCTTTCCCTACTTTCTGCAGAATTCCAAGTTTCGGTCAACAGACGTCAATCCTATGAATAATCATAGAGAGAGAAAAAAATATATAAGTTGTTCACATCAGGGTCTCGAAAGCCTGGAGCGACATTCCAGTCATGCACGGTCATCCTGCGGGTGAACTTCTTCCGACGGTCCGAGCCAGTCTACACGGGCGCACGGTCTGAGTAGATAAAAGTCACTTAGCCTGGGCCGCCGAGATGCAGAAACAGAGCTCACCAGCGAATACTCGGTCTTTTTGCCTCTAAACGGCCTGCACGATTTCTCCCCACGGGGAGGCCACGCTGACAGTTGAAATTACGGGTTCTCGAGTTGCACCTCCCGGGGTCGGGGCTTATTTTTGCTTCTGGGAAGCAAGAAATAGGCGTGCATAAATTAGCCCGAGGATCCGTTGAGGCCGGTAATTAGCCCCGTTGGCGGTGGGAAGTGTGGGCTTGGAGGCGTGTGTCACAGAATATGCAATTTTCTCTCGATCGGGGGCAGAAAAGACCTCGTCTCCGGACGGCACCTCCGTTGTCGTGTCAATCAGAACGACAACCAAAAAAACAAAAAAAAAACCCAGAAAAAAAAAACAAAACCCCAAAGCAAAGATAATAGGAGCTGCGTGTCGACGGGAAACACAGACTTTCACGGATCCAGGGCTTGGGGCCTCTCTGCTGGCTTCCAAAGGAGGCCACACCTGATCAGGTGACGGGGGGCTCGAGTGGAGGAAGGGGGGGTCCCCTAAATGCCGTCTAGACACAGACCAGCCCCTGGGTGCTGGAACCCACGTCCACCTCATTCTTTGACGGCGAGCCACAATTTCTGGAGAAAGAGTTCCTGCCTTTTAGATTTTTCAAGTTTGTTAGTGTCAGGGTTCATCGTATGTGTCAACTTGACGAGGCCACGGGCTGCGCCGACGACTGGTTAAGTATTGTTTCTGGGGGGGGGTGTCTGCGAGGGTGTGCCTGCATGAGATGAGCGTTTGCACCAGTGGTCTGAATAAAGCGGATTGGCCTCCCCAGTGTGAGTGGGCCTCGTCTAATCAGTGGAAGGCCTGACTAGAACAAAGAGGCAGAAGGGAGAATTCACTCTCTCTGCCTGACCGAGCTGGGAGGTTGGTCTGCTCTTGCCCTCAGAATAAAACCCACACCATGGGCCGTCCAGCTCTCAGCCCTTTGACCTGCACCACCGGCTCTCACGGGCCTCCAGCTTGCAGATGGCAGACTGTGGGAATTCTTGACCCTCCATCATCATGCGAAATCTATCCTAATATTGTAATATCTACATCTATATCTGTATCTATCCTCTGTCTATTTACCATCTATCCATCTATCCATCCATCCATCCATCCATCCATCCATCCATCTATCTATCCATCCATCTATCCATCCATCCATCCATCCATCCATCCATCCATCCATCCATCCATCCATCCATCCATCCATCCATCCATCCATCTATCCATCCATCCATCCATCCATCTATCCATCCATCTATCTATGCATCCATCTCTCATCTATTATCTATCTATCCATGCATCTATCTCTTATCTATTTATCTATCAATCACCCATCTACATCTATTTATCTATCTCTCAACTATCTCTCACCTATCTACCTATCTCTCATCTATCACCTATCTATCATCTATGTATCCATCCATGTATCTATCTGTTATCTATCTAGAATTTATCTATTTACCTATCATCTGTCTATCATCTATTTATTTATCTCTCAAATATCAATCTCTCATTTATCTGTTTATCTATCAATTAATCTATTTATCTATCATCTCTCTCTATCTATACATACAGATATATTTAGAGATACATATATGTATCCATCTATCTATATATCTCCAATTAGTCCTGTCTCTCTGGAGAACTCTAATACAATTAGCCTCATGCTTTACAATTTTAGCCGGTTTTTACACCTCATAATTTTCATCTAGCTTTCCAAGTTCCTCTGCATTTTGCCTTACAATTTCACTGGATTAAACCATTGTGAATATGACTCAAACTTATAATGAAAAACGAAAAGGAAAGCCAACACCAGGAAACTCAGGACGTGCAGAGAGTGGAGCTTTCTTTCCGCCGTGACCCCCACCCCAAGTTGTTCTCCTGGAAACTCAGCGTGGTTGGGTAACCGTGTGCACCCTTCCGGAACGCCCTATAGATATACCAGGATCTTCCAATGCATCATCATACGTAAATTAAAGTGAAACTGGACTCACTTTTTACACATTAGCCTTAAACTTAATTGTTTCCTTGAAAATATATTTTGGACACTTTGGACTTTACACTTTGAAAGACCTCAGGTTATTTGTTCCTGTATTTAAACAACTGTTTATTGAGCCACGTCCTTATTGGCAGACGTCGAACTTGTTCCTAACTTCCTACCTTAAGCGACGCTGCAATGAGCATCTTTGCGCACGGAGCTTTGCACAGTCGATCAATCGATCAGGCAGATCTGGAGATAAATGCTCAGACCTGAGCTGTCCAGGGACGTACGTCCTATAATTCGGTGGGTATCATCAAATTACTTTCCTCGAAGGTTGCGATCATCGACAGTTCCTGATTCCCCACATTCCCATCAAAACCGAATGGTATCTAACATTTTCATCTTTCCCAAACTGATCAGTATAAACGGCATCTCCTTGTTCTAGTCATTTGCTTTTTTTTTTCTTTTTCTTTTTTTTTTTAAATAAATGAGCTTGTGAGGTTGGTCCTTATACACATCTTCTCTTCCTTGTCTGAACTGCCTCTTCGTATATTCGGCCCGTTTATTTTTTTTTTAAGTTTTCCGAGGGTTCTTTCATTGACTCCATTTATTCTCATTATTCAGGATTACGGTTAAAGACACAGCATCTTCAAATCGTGGCAGGTTTTTCTCTCCTTTTCCAAGACTTCCGTCTCTCACAGCGTCAGGTCTTTCAGATCTCAGGGAGGGCCGACGTCGGCCATCCCGAGATCCAGGGTCTGCGTCTACTGACATCGGGGAAGTGACGTGACCTCGCTCTGCATGTGTTTTCCCGTCTGTGAAATGGGTCAATGATGACATGTCCTGTCTCAGTTGAGCGTGAGGTGGAAACAAAGTCATAACTATATAAAAGCCTTCAGACTCAGTGCAGGCCTGCAGCTACTGGTCAGCTTGGGGCAGGAGCTACCGGAGCCACTTGTCCTCTGTGTAGACACAGGGCACCTGCAACAATATTAGTCCATCAAGGGGACCCAAGAACGCATCCTTGGCTTGGGTTCTTAACCGTGCGTTTTCTGGTGCATCATCGATTAGCGTGATGTTGGTATTTGCAAGCATACACACACGTGTATGTAGATAGATATCGTGCCCAGAACATTTTTTCTATTCTTGTTTAGTTAATAGTTATTACCAGAAATGATGGTTCAAGTTGATGAAATCGGCATTAGATAGCTACTCAATGTTTTGTTTTATTTGGACCTACTCATAGGGTGCATGGCATAAATTATGTCATAATTAACCGATCCTGAAATTCCTAAAATTAACCTCAGCCATTTTGTTCCTTTTATCGTGGTTTATATAGAAAAAATATGTAATATAATAATATATCACATATACTATTAAATATATAACATACATTATTATTTTATAATATCAATAATATATAATGTCAATAATGTACAATAATTATTATATCAATATATTATATTATATATCATATCATATAATATATTAAATATATAATACTTAATATATATTTAATATATAATATAAATTAAATATATGTATATTTAATTTATAAATAACAAATATAAAATTAGAGATAAAATTAAAAATATAATAAAATATAGTTTTATTTGTTATAATATATATAAATTGTAAATATAAATTATAAAGTATTATTTATAATATTATATAAATATAAAATATAAATACAAAATTTAAAACTATAAAATAAAATATAAGGTTAAAAATATAAATGTATAAATAATAAATATTAAATATATTTTTATATAATATACAATTGATATATATTAAAAAGAAATTAAGTAAATATAGACATTTTATTGAGGTCACATTGGTTTATAACATTATATAAGTCTCAGCGGTCCGTCCATCTTCACTTTTTCGTGTGTATCATTCTTTTGATGAGGTGGGCAACGCTATTTGCCTAGTGAATTTTCATGTAATTTGCAATATGTTCACCTAAGTCTGCAGTCTCTCTTTCTGTGCTTTCAAACTCAAACTTTGGCATGATTCTGATGAAGTCCTCACACATTATTTGGAAGCGTTCCGTCTCATCTCGGGCTCTGAATCATATCAATACCCCGAGAATTCCTTGAAGGATTCAGAGAACTCACTTAACAATTCGATGCGCTCCAACATTTTGATGCCGGCTTAGCTCTGTCTCAATTTCCTCATTGAAACGGATTTACTGATATTTGCTTTGTTTTTCTAAATTTTGATAATGCACATTTTTCCTCCAATCGTCCCTCTTATCCTGCTTTGCAAACATATTTGCATGAACCATGGCAAAAACCACACGGATTTTGTGATGAGCGTACGCTTCTCAAGTCCATTTTGGGTGGATGCCCTTTATTCTTCTCTTCATTTTGCTTTCGAGCGGTCGATCCTAGGGCCCTGTCTTCTCTGGGAACAAGTTTGGGCTTCGTAGGATCAGTAAAATATTTCCCAGTTCTGCTCTTTACCTATGTCCTCACTTACGAAATTCCTCCTTTATTAAATTAGGGATTTCACTCTCCTCCTTTCCCGAGATTTACGTTTCTCTTCATAAACTTCTGAATCCAACGCTTCATTCCTTATTTAAAAACGAAAGTCATTCTGAAAATGTCGATTTTCCTCCCCAAAGTAACATGAGCCACATCCCGCAAAGTGCTGAAATGGTGATCACCTCGTTTTAACCTCCTTTTGTCCGACCCAAGGACCTTTGAAAGAGGGTTTTAAAATTCCAGTTGGATGGCAGTTTTCGTTTGTTGATATTTTATGATTAAACTCTAACGTTACGACATTATGGCCAAAAATATGGTTGGTTATGTTTCCACTGTTTGGAATTATTGTTTTCCTTTTCGGCTAATATGTGGTTTCAAAACGTAATTTATTTTTTATGGATACGGATTTGCCTATGCACCCAGGAGATTTTCCTTGCGTTATATAATTTAAATCCTTCTTCTCTTCTTGTCTTCTTAATCTGTCATGCTGAAGTCTTTTAATATGAGTTCTATTTCTGGCAACGTGGAAGATTAGGTCATTTGACCCAACGCTCCTGCTGAAACCAATTGAAAATGCTGGATGAATACATTTGTAAAGCATCTTATTAAAGCATCACAACACGGACGGGAGAGCAGGAAATCATCCGGCGGCCACAGTGTCCGGGGAGGCTGTGAAATAAATATGTGAAATAAATAAATATTATTTCACGCAGAGAAAGAAATATGTAGGGAGCCCAGGGGTCAGCTTTTCCCACAGGATAATTGGTGAATTAATCAATTTTTAAACCGCATTATTTATTTATGTATATTTTTTTCGTGTGAGGAAGATTGTCACTGAGCTAACATGTGTGACAATCTTCCTCTATTTTTTTTTTTTTAATATATGGGACATCATCGCAGAGTGGATTGATGAGCGGTGGTAGGTCCGTGCCCAGGATCTGAACCTGCAAACTCCGGGCCACCAAAGTGGAGCATGCAACCTTAACCACTCCACTACCCCACCAGGCTGGCCCCAAACAAACATAAACCTCATTTTTGGTGTCCTCTCACCTCTCCAGAAAGAGAAGACAAGGGTTTTTAGGTCCTTGTCAAGGTGGGGAGAGTCAAATAGGGGATTTTCCTCCACTAAATTCTACAATAGTAGATCTCAAAGTGTGGAGCCTTAGGAGGGGTTCCCTGAGTCAAGACTATTTTCATACAAATACCGAGATGTTATCTGTCTTTTTCAGTCTCACTGTCTTGCAAGTGCCCAGCGGAATTTTCCAGAAGCTTTGCGATGGGTGATGACAGAGCAGGTTGAATGCAGAAGCAGACACAGGAATCCAGCTGCCGTCTCTTTAACGCCGGACATTAAAGAGATTTGCAAAAATGCACAACAATGCTATTCTTATCAGTAATATTCTCACACGAGTGAGAATACAATACATAGGACATATATATCCTATTATACAATAAGAATAGAATACATGCATCCTATAATAAGAATATATCATTTGTGTTAGCACGTAATGGATTTACCATCACTGCTTTTAAATGGGTCCATCAATAGATGTGTAAAAATCTTCTGGGTTTTAATTGCTAATACAGTAAATATCAATGGATATAAACCACATGATGAGGACTTGGGATCCTTAATCGATATTATTTAGAGCACAAAGAGGTTCTTCAGCCGACGGGTTTGAGAACCGCTGTCTCCATTCTCAGGACAAGAGTGGACGGGATGCAAATACACAGCTTCCACCTGCGGGATTCTGAAGGAAGAGACGCCTTGGCACTAAGGTAACAAGGCAAAGGGGAGCTTTTGAGAATTTCTAACCATTAATCTGCCCTCTTGCAGATACTCTCCCCTCCCTCCTGCAAAAAAAAAAAAAAAAAAAATCCAAACTATGAATTTGGTCAAAACGGTCCTGACTTGATAGTGTCTCCAGGCACGGTGATGAAGTCTGAAATATAACTACTGGCATAGCAAGGGTCCCAATCCAGCAGAATAAATAGCATCATTTTATCATTTTTATCAACCTCAGTGGATGGGGTTAAAAACAGACAAGACAGGAGTGAAGAGAGAATTAGTGAACTGGGAGAGTACATTCTCCAGAAGTACAGAGAGACGTAGAAATGAAAAATGTGAAAGATGCTCCGAGGCACTGAAAATATAAGAAAAAGAGCTCACGAATGCTACGAGTTCCAGAAATGTAGGAGAGCGAGCCAACAAGAAGACGTGAAGAGAGGATGGTTGAGGATCAACGAGAATCGAGAAAGAGACAGCAACCCACAAGCACAGGAAATAAAATTAACCCCAGGAAAAACAGAAATAAATATATGGACAAACACGCATCAGAAGCACAGGAAATAAAATTAATCCCAAGTAGAATAAAAATAAATATATGCACACACATGCACCATAAGAACAGGAAATAAAATTAATCCCAAGTAGAATAAAAATAAATATATGCACACACATACATCTTATGAAATTTCAGAACACCAATCTTGAAAGAAGCTAGAAAATAAAAAAATAACGTTTCCAAAGGCTTGAAGGGGAGACTTACAACACACATCTATCCAATCCCATTGGAAGCCAGAAGGATAAGAAAGAGAGAAGAACACAGGAATCGAAGTGTTGAAAGGAAACAGATCCCAGAGAAAATACCTTTCAAAAATGGGGCTCCAAGGAAAACAGTTGCAAAAACAATGACGTAAGCGCCTTTTCATGAGCGGGCCATCCCTGAAGAAAAATTTAAAGACGGTGCATCAAGAAAACCCAAAACTAAGCCCAGTGGGAAAGTGTGAGAATACAAGAAGAAAGGGAGAAATCAGACAACGGCCAACATGTGGGTCAATCTATACAAACATTGAGTGTATTAAACAATATTACTCATGTCTTGTGGAGTTATAGGGTCGAGCGATGAGCGGAGGAGCCCACACCTGAAATTAGGGTTTACCAAAGAAAACCTCCCATGGAAAAAAAAGACCTAAAAGCGAATTTTAAGAAGTACAAATTTTATTCAAGTAATGTCCTATTTAACGCGATCAAGGTGTTGAGCGTTGATAAACTGACGTCTCCCATCTCAGGGGGCAGAAAATGGTGATCCTTTCTTACCACATGGCTCCATTTTGGTAGAAGGTTTGGAGGAAATATTCCATTTTGAATACGCCCCCCGTTGGCTCACTCCCCGGTTTGTTGATTTAAAGGATTAAGAGCGCCGAGGGATGAACGTCATGGATCCGTTCTCATATATGGCGCGCTTAATGCTCGATTATTATTACTTTTCTACAAGGCTATTATTTTTAACTTGAGAGACATTACTTGAAGGTCTAACCTCACTTGGCAATGTCAGCCCTACACAACCCACATACCTATAGGTACAGGGAATACAAGAACCCCCCAAAATGTCACAACGGAGAGTGCTCAGACACGCAGAACCCAGCCCTGAGCCTCAACACTTACGAAGGGAAATTGATGAGAGCCATTTTGCACGTTCCTTGAATCATTTTTAAGCACCCAGGACAATTTTGTCTGGGAAGAGGAAAAATGTTCAACTTCCTTCTTTGAAAACTTAATTTTAAAGGGCATTCCACACCTCTGTTGAATGAATCATTTCTTAGCAGCACGATCTCCCCACGTGGGAAGACATTTCTGTTCCGGGGGTGATTTTCACGTCAAATTATAGATTCCTATTTCATTCCGATTGCTGTCTTTTTGGTTAAATGTTTGGAAAGAGATTATGAACTGACGGGAAAATGTGTAAAATTGGGTGAATCCTTATTTTGATTTCCTGTCACTTCTTTGGAAAAGAGTAGTAAAGCCATTGCCACTTTATTACATCAATCAATATTTATTGGACATTGACGCCGCCTCAGACGAGAAGGTATAGACTGAGCCGAATGGAGAGAGAAGCAATTCCTGGTCCCTTTTCTGAAGGAGCCTATAATCTGCAGGCAAAAATAAGATTCCTATGGGAATAGTGCTGTCATTCAAGGTAGCGGGGTTTCAGGGTCACAAGAGACACGCAGGTTGGATTTCCTGCCATATTTCTCATCTCTGGTGGGTCAGCAGCAGGACTGGACAAGAATGAGGCAAGCAATGCCCCCAGGATGCATCATTAGAGGAGCTCCGCCTCAGACTCACGCCAAGGCAGGGTTTGCCCCTAAGGGCGTCTCTTCAAATGTGTCCAGGAGCCCTGACTAGTAGAACTTATCTGTAGACTAGTAGGTTCAGTGTACAAGAACCTACTGGTTAGACCACAAATGCCTGACAGTGCGCACCATACCCAGAGACTCCATTTTTTCAAGCTAAGCAATCTTGCTTGGTTCTCTCCTAGTTTGATGCTCTCACTCACCCACCCCGACACAGACACAAACACGCACATGCTCAATAATTTTGCTCAGTTATTGGTCTACGGTTCCTCAGTGGTTACCCAGCGGCGCTCAAAAACATGTTAGCACTTGAGACACAATTTCATTCATTACAAAGTCCTGAGCGGAGACAATGGGGGAAGCATTGGTCATTTCACATGATGACTAAAACGGAGTCTGATATGTCCCTCACGCCATGTTTAATAAGATTGAAAAGAAAGGTTTTGCAAGATAACCCCCAAATGCAGTGTGTATGATCTTATTTCCCGAGTGATATGAACCTCTTGGCTTAGCAGAAAGCATTATTGTCATCATCACCATCACCAATATCATCACCATCATACTATCATCATCATTATCACCAACATCCCCATCCCATCACTATCATCATCATCACCATTATCACCATCATCATCATCACCATAACTATCACCATCATCATCACTACCACTACCACCATCATCAAACTATCACCATCACCATCATCAACATCACCATCATGATCATCATCATCATCCCCATCATCATTCAACATCATCACCACCACCATCATCACCATCACCATTATCATCACCATCATCCTATCATTATCATCATTATCACCAACATTCCCATCCCATCACTATCATCATCATCATCACCATTATTATCACCATCATCATCATCACCATCATGATCATGATCATCACCATCATCATTCACCCTCATCATCACCACCACCATCATCACCATAACTATCACCATCATCATCATCACCACCATCACCACGATCATCAAACTATCGCCATCACCATCATCATCACCACCAACACCGTCATCAAACTATCACTATCACCATCACCATCATCATCAGCAGCAGCATCATCACCATCACCTTCATCAGCATTAGCATCACCATCATCAGCGTCAGCATCAGCATCATCATCACCATCAGCATCAACATCAGCATCAGCATCATCATCATCATCAACACCATCATCAACAGCAGCATCAGCAGCAGCAGCATCACCATCATCAGCATCAGCATCAGCAGCATCATCATCAGCATCAAACTATCACCATCACCTTCATCAGCATCACCATCACCACCATCACCACCATCACCATCATCATCATCACCATCACTACCATCATCATCATTACCATCACGATCATCACCATCACGATCACCATCATCACCATCACCACCACCACCACCATCATCAAACTATCACCATCACCATCATCATCACCATCATGATCATCATCATCATCACCATTTCCATTATCATCACCATCATACTATCACTATCATCTTTATCACCAACTTCCCC